AGGGGATGGGCATCCACACCACACAAGTGGATGGGCATCCCCACCAAAGAGAAGAGCGATCAGGCACAGTTTTTTTTCGGTGAGCTGAGAGTGGCGAAGTTTTCGTTACATTGGCAAGTGTCTCTGTCGTTCCCGAAGAAGGGGGGAAGTGTGAGGAGAATTCGCCTCCTCACACGCTAAGACAGCAATAGCCAATCAGTTTAGGGGGCCGCAGGAGATAGGCTGATGACCAATACGAACGGGGAGGGGTAGGGTTCACCATCAAGGGCGAAGACAGAATCGAGGTGGAACGTAACGGTTCCTGGAGCAGCAGTAGACGAATGGAAGGACAGGGTTACAACGCCCAGTGGGAAGACGGAATCAACGTGGAACGTAACGGTTCCCGGAGCACCAGCAGACAAGTGGAAATGCAAGGTTACATCGTCCAGTGGGAAGACGGAATCAACGTGGAACGTAACGGTTCCCGGAGCCCCAGCAGACAAATGGAAATGCAAGGTTACATCGCCCAGTGGGAAGACGGAATCGACGTGGAACGTAACGGTCCCCGGAGCACCAGTGGACGAATGGGAAGGCAGTGAGGGCAGTGAGAGGCAGAGCTCCATCATCGAGTGGAAGGCGGATCAACGTGGAACGTAACGGCTCCCGAGGCGACGGCGGGCACATGAGCCCGCCGCGCAGCGGAGTTCAGGATGGGCGACATGAGTGGGAGCAGCAAAGGAGCAAGGAGCAACAGGGGAGGCGGAGGAGGCCAGCGTCACGTCGCATAGCAACAGCAGGGGTCAGTGGCCGAACGGAAAAGGGCAACGGCCGCACGGATGGCCACCTGCCAGCAGGAAAAAGGAGTAACGGCAGCCCGCCAACGGGAAAGTGGCGTGATCTTGGAAACAGGAGTAACGGCAGCCCGCCAACGGGAAAGTGGCGTGATTCTGGAAGCAGGATTAACGGCAGGAGCAGAGTCCAGGAGGATTAACGGGCGCTCCAGTCAGTATAAAAGGAGGCCCACTGGAGCGGCTCGGGACGAGTCTTTTTAGGAAGCTTGTAGCGTTGAGTTGGGGACCGCCTTTGGAGAGTCCGCCAATCAAGTGTTAGAGCGTTGCTAAAAAGGATTCGGTTGTTTGAGTTGAAAGACCGCCTTTGGAGAGTCCGACAGCCAAACGTAAGGAGAACGAACGAGACAAGGAAAGAACGGTACGAGGACATTTACGGGGAACGACCTAGGCGACAGGAGACGAGTTGGACCAGTTCCTGGCCACGGCAGGTAGCCTTGCTAGGAAGTGCAGAAAGGATAAGTCTGGCGTACGCCATTCGGACTCCTGACTCACAACCAACAGGCGTGGTCCTGCACCGGAAAGGACAGGCCGACTCAAGATCCCGAGCCCGGTTTCGCTCCGGAGGACGAGAAGGACAAGACGAGAGAGGATCGGCGTCGGTTGGTTTCCTCGAAAGCTACAGGGCAACAGAGTCGAGCGTGGGCTATTCCAAGTCAAAGCAGGTAGCCTTGCAAGGAAGTGAGGAAAGAACAAGTCTGGCGTACGCCACGCGGGTTCTTGACTCGCAACCAACAGGCGTGGTCCTGCAGGACGCGGATAAGCCAACTCGGGAACTCACGCCCGCTTTGGAACGCGATCGGGGAGGCCCCGATCACCCACCAAGCAGCTCTTGACCCGGGCCCATTGGCGCGTACGCGCGGTGGTCACCCGGCCGAAAGAGTGACGTACGGTCCTGGACAGGCGACTGACAAGACTTCGGCAACTCCCAATCCAGGCCCGCCGGTGCGGAAAGGCACGGCGTCTCCTGGCGTAGCGGAGCCGGCTGTAGACAGCAATCTCTGAACCAGGGCCGCTGGTGCGCATGCACAGCGGGTTGCGGGGACGACCACCAGTAGCCATCTCCCAAACCAGACTCGCCGGTGCGAAGAGCACGGCGTGCTCCTGGCGTAGCGGAGCCTACAGGCCGCACACCCCGAACCAGGTCCGCCGGTGCGCATGCACGGCGCATCTCCCTGGTGGTGCAGAGGCGACAGCCAGTAGCTATCTCCCGAACCAGCGTCGCCGGTGCGCAGAGCACGGCGTTCATCCTGGTGTAGCGGAGGCTACAGCCCGCCAACTCCCGAGCCCCGGCGGTACGGCGCGTATGCGCGTATCCCCGACGGCGTAGTGGAGGCTTTTCAGTTCATAGCCGAAGGCCAGACCGAACCGAAGAGGTGGAAGGTGACGACGGATCAACGAGGAGGAGCCCCGGCAACAAGAGCAGCAGCGGAAACACCAGAAACGGAGGAGATATCCAGGACGGACACACCAAGGGTCACCAAGGACACACCAAGGGTCACCAAGGACACACCAAGGGTCATTCCCGGGAACCCGCATGAATCACAGTTGTAAACAGAGAGAGCGGAAAATAAAGAGACTACGCAACGTAAAGCTACTTGTATTATTTTCTGGGCTTGGGCAATCACGTCGAATCTATAAATTCGGTGGAACGGATCCGCGAAACTCTGTGAGCTAGCCGCGGCAAATTGTGGCGAGCGGAAGCAGAATAATAGTTCGTTACAGCGGGATAGCTGCCATATAACTGATTGATCGGACATGGTATAACTTTGGTGTTTTTAGAGTTAGAAAGTTCGAATTTTGTATGAGTGTTATTTTTGGCTAAATACGACATACTAAATTTCATAAGGATTGGCCGAATATATCTTATAGCTGCCATATAACTGAACGATCGGAAATGACCCAACTTTCGTGTTTTTGAAGATAGTAAGCTGGAACTTAGTACAGATTATATTTTTGGTTAGTTGATCCGACCAACCAAATGTCATAACGATCGGCCGACTATATCCTATAGCTGCCATATAGCTGAACGATCGAAAATGGTATTTGGTAGAAATACCAACTTTGGTACTTATTTTGGCTTGGGACTTATTTTTAGCTTTATTTTAATAAATTGCTTATATTATGATATTTTCATAAGGATCGACCAACTATATCCGATGTTTGCGATATATATCCGGTTTAAACTGCAAAGGTATATCAACATCGGCTCCGCCCGAAGCTGGCTTTCCTTTCTTGTTTTTCATTACAGTAACATTAATATTGCTTGCAAAATCGTCGATAACATGATGTTCTTCTAGGTTTGATCCAAAACCGAAAGGTTATTTTGAAGAGTTTGGAGTTTACATGTCGCGATAAAATACAACTCGCAACTTAACTTATATGAAACTTAAAATTTGCATATCACATATTCATGTTAAAAACAGGAGTAATATGTTACACTTGTAAAAAAGTTAATTAGTTAAATGTAAATTACATTTAAGACTTTTTAAAAGCAATAGCAATGAAAAGAAAAATTGTTTTATATATTACGTTTCTTGAGCACTCTGTCCCATCTTCTGACTCCGTTTCGCTGCCAACTTCACGTTCCTCTACTTTTGTAACATCAACCAATTCTTTTTTTTCACAAAATTCTTTTTCAGTTTTAGATGTTGTATGAACAGTGGGTAAATCATTGTCATTTCCAGATTCCATAGATGTGTAAACTTTTTTAGTATCCCCTTCAAATCCCGTTGAAGAGTTTTCTTTGGTATTATCTTTAATTTCCAGCTCATCTTGCAATTGAATATCATCTGTATCAACCGTCACGGTACATTCAAGGGATTTCTCATTTGTGATGTTAATTTGTGGTGAAGAGTTACATTTATCACCAGTAATTCCATCGGTGTTAATGGCTTCAGTATCTCGGTTTGAATTTGGCGATTCTATGCATGATTCCTTTAGTAAGCGGTAGAAGTCAACAAATATATGTACATTCATTTGTATTGATACGGTATATCAGATTCTGAATATTTTTAGTCTTATTATTATTATTATTAGTCTTGGTTGTGTTCTTCAATCCGAATAATTTTTGTATATGTAAAATACATATATACATATATACATGTATGTATATACACTTTCCAGAAAAACTATGCGTACTAACATGTTCGCTCACTTTGGGTTCGCAAAAAAAGTGCTAATAGTACACATAGAAAATGGTATTGAAACAAAAAATCATTTTCCAGTCCTAATTTTTTAGCGGTTTGAAAAAATTGTGTTTTAAAATGTCGATATACTTCTTGTGATCCATTGTGGATTCAATGAATTCAAGATTACCGACTACACTAGACGCCATACATTCCCGAGCCATCATACCACCACCACCGTATTTTATGGTTTGTTTTACAGACTGGAAAATGAGTTTTTATTTCAACAGGACAATGACCCCAAACATTGCGCCCACAATACCAAGCTGTAGATGCCTTTTAATGTAAAAAATCACTTAAATTCGCCACCACAATCCTTTGATTTTAATCCTATTGATCATCTATGGAACCTATAGAACCTATATGGCTCAGGATACTCCAAAATACCATAACATCCAAGGATATGCTCAAAAGAGTCATTCAGGAAGAATGGAGTAAAAGAACGGCAGGAGTAAGATAACGGCAGAATGCAAAATTGTTTGGCTGAAGTTATTAAACGAAAAGGATAACCAACTTTGTACTAATATATAAAAGGTTTTTTTTTATATTTTAAGTTCTGTATGCAGACTTTTTCTGATTGAAAATCAGACTATTGCTTTTAGTTTTTCTATATTATCTTATATATCAAGTTTAAGAGCTGGGAACTAAGAAGTATGTAGGTATGTAGAAGGTATAAGAAGGTATGTTTGTAATGCTAATAAAGCTAAAGCTAATAAAATTTACTACTTTACTACTTTACTACGAAATTAAAAAAAAAAATGAATTTTCTATGTACATATTCTATTACCACTTTTTTCGAAGCCGAAGTGAGCGAACATGTTTGTACGCATAGTTTTTCTGTCAAGTGTATGTATAGATAAACGAAATTGGTCGGATTGATTTCGTATGCAAAACATAATTTAAAAAATATTTCAAAGAACACAATTTTTTGAGCTTATACTGTAATTATTACAGTAATTTTTTTTCGGGAAATAAAAATTCTTACCAGAACTTCAGAGGTGGAATCCATTTCTATAACCAATAAGAACTCGTGATGGGATCTAAAGGTAGAAGTTGAATATTATATGTATGAATGAACACATGTACATATGTACATACATATGTAAATTTTACAACAAGTATCTTTGCAAGTTGATATTAAAGAGAAAATAAAATATTAAATGAAAATTAAAATATGCACACACTCATTTTTTGGTTATTCATCAATTAAAAAACTGTTATGCAATAAAAACATATATTTTCTCATGGATTTAATCTATTTATTTATTATTATATATTTTTTCGTTTATTTTTTAACGTATAAGAAAATACCGTTTGTTTTATAAGAAAAATAAAATCACCGGAGACTTTCAAAAATATTTTAGCGTCAAACAATGATGAACAATCGGAATATTGTACGATAATAAAGTCAAATTCTGTCCTGACCAAAATAATGACCTCGCATGTAGAAGAGTATATGCAATACATATATGCTGTATTTTTTATTATTATGACATCAAGATAGCTTCCACATTCAACACACTTTGTCTATTTTTATAGTGTTAAAATGAGTAACACACATGTTTAAGTGTACACAAAGTCCACAAAATATACATACAAAAATGTATTTACATACTTGAATGCTTATATATACATACATGTGTACATATCTTTGGGTATCACCAGTAAGATAAAATTGACTTTCAAAGGTACATAACATGTGTTTTATATTATAAAAAATATATATAAATAAAGTACATTTATTTTTTGTAAAAAGTTTATACCCGAGTTGCATTTTTCTTTTTGGGTTTCTAGGTGAAATGTTGTTTTAAATCAGAATATTTATACCCTTGCAAAGGGTATTATAATTTTGGTCAAATCTGTTCTACGTATTAAAAGAGACATTTTCGACCCTATAAAGCAGGGATGCCCAAGCTCTACATACGGCACACTATGAGGCCATCGACCACTTTCTGTGGCCTTATATAATACCAGTAAATCGAAAGATTTTATTCACTGAGTTTATTTTGGCCCCTAGTGCGAGCGAAATCCCACACCAATAAAAAAAATCAACAATACATTGGTTCGAGTTACATTGAAGAGAAGATATTGTAACGTTCACAAGAGACTAAAAAAAAAAATTAAAAATATTATCAATATTATAAATAAAACTATATCCTATAGCTGCCATATAACTGAACGATCGAATATGACCCAACTTTCATGTTTTTAAAGATAAAAAGTATTTCATCAACTTTTTCCCTCTTATTTTTCAACGTGGCAAGCAACGTCCCAATTATTTTTGATGCCTTCGCCAAATCAATTGCTTCCTTCTGAAGAACTACGCTGAGCGGATGGGTGAGGGATAGAATGTCGCTGAGACAGAAGAGCCCGACGATGAATTCGAACTGGCACAAAGCCGATAGGAGAATTGTTGCTTTGCCTGCTGTTTCTCTGTTCTTCCACTCACTGATTTTTGACAGAGCTTCGATTATCAACGGTAACTTCGCAACAAATTGAAGGACAGAATCGTGTCTCTCTCCCATCTTGTTTCACACAACTGGACAATTTTTTCACAAAGTATCTTTGCTAATACAGTCACACGTTATGGAAATGGGTTCTTGAAGAATTTGTCCACTTCTCGTATCGCACTGGCAACGTTTTCGATTAATCGTACTTTCACTGACTTTGAAATACTGTTGTTGAGTTTGTGCAAGAAACACGGTGTCATGACAGCATTTTTTGCTTCTTTCCTAATTTCGTTGACTGCTCCGATATCTGACAGCATGACCGCACATCCATCAGTCCCTATCGAAGCGCATTTCTCCATTCGGAGATTCATTTTCCTCATGACTCCAAGAACATTCCTCCCGATGGCAAATCCAGTTAGAGACAATTCTTCATCGGTTCGGTCATTTTTTCCAGTAGTCCTGTAAGCCATTGATCCATCTTCATCCTCGATTACTGCTGATTCTGTGCCCTCCGCGAGAGTATTTTTCGAAAGTTGACCGAATGCGTCAAAAAAAGATACAAAGTCTTCTTGTATGCATGCTTTACCAGGTGAAAAATCGAGGTATCTGAGTACAACGGCAATCTATAACGAGAAACATTATACAGTAAATTTCTGTTTATTTTCTTGGGAACAACCACTATCCGATAATTCAGGCAATAGGCAATCAATCAATTATTATATTTTTACGGAAATTCTACTTCTACGTAATAATTGGCAGGATTAAAGTTTACCTGAGCTTTTCCCGACAGATCTGGAGATTCATCGAAAACAAAATTTCACCTGAAATTTCCTTCGTTTTGCACAGGCGATTTATTTTTCTGAATATCTTCGTCATCTTTATGCCCACGAAGTGGAATATTCCGCTTTCCGCAAAAAATGACCGTTTTCACAATGGGGATAAGTCGTTTTCTGTTCTCTTGCGTTTGCGAAAGATGGTTTTTGTCGAGAAGATTACGGACGCTTCGTTGTGAATTGTGATAGTCTCTCACGAAGTCCTTCCCCGTTGCCATTGCATTCTTATGGTACATATTTTGAGAATGAATTTCTAACACACTCTTGATCCCAACCAAATTTTTGAAATCAGTCAACGGCTGCGTGACATGTACCCCAAGCGGAGTAATCCCTCGATAACCTCCTTGATTTCGAGGCGTAAGCCATGGACAATATTTGCAGAATAGCCCTTTCCTCACGTCAGATAGTACGAGCCACTCTGCATGAGAATCCAAGTGTTTGGAAAAGACGTAGTGTTGGAGGAAGACGGCGTTTCCGTCTTGTCAATGCTTTCAACATGTTTAGGTGGACTGTGCGTCACTACATGAGGAACCTCGTTTTCTTCTCGATGTACATTCGCAACATCTTCATCTAGTTTTCTTTTTTTTCGCAGGTGCAGAAGTAAGCCGATATGGACTTTTGTCGAGATGACTAAGATAGGAATTATATATAAAATAAAGTTCTTCTACCAAGAAGAAAAATACCAATATTGTATCGTACTGAAAATAATAATACACTTGTCGCTTTTTATGCTCCCAAAAATGCCAGAAAAAACTTTCACTAATCATATTCTCCAAATATTCAAATCCTTGGTAGTAAATTTAATATGAAATGACATTTACATTTTTTTAAAGTGAAGCTGCTAAGAAAAACTGCACAGCATACGAAAAAAAAGTTTTCTTAATTTTTGCACCTTATTCGACTTTTTTTTTAAATTCTCATTCTATATTGAGATTCCTAAAGTTTGTTACGAAACACCAAGTTAAAACATGGGTTCTTTATGCAAAATTGGCTACTAAATTTGTTGAATAAGCAAACCTAACCTTAATTTTTATGTAAACACTCCTTTGAACATGATACAATTATTAGTTTTGGTCCCTTAATTTCAAACTGTCAAACTGAAAGGTGATTTTTTTTTTCAAAACTTTTAAGTGGCCAAGCAAAAAAAAGACTTTTTGCAGTTCTTTTCGCATGCACGTGCTAGGCGTAAAGTTTGTTTTTTTAGTTTTATTAAACTTAAAATTTAAAACAGACATTGTTAAACGCCGCTGAGCAGGTCGATATTGGTGTAAATATAAAAAAAAATTATTTTAAGATACGTTTATACTTTAGAATTAAGAACTTAAGCAAGAGAATGGCTATCAAAAACAAAGAATTATGTCAAATTTAAAACTAATTAAAATAAAATTATAAACACAACTAAGAAAAACTTTTAGCCCCATGCCCCGTGTGAGGGTTAATCAAAGTACTGTATAGCCGTTTTACTCGCACTATTCAACGCTTACTATGTTATAATTAAAATAAGGGACTTAAGTCAACGATTTGACTACCTTGTATAATTGTATGCCTTTGAATAAGGTCAGTGGAATTTCACCACGCACAAAAATAAACAGTAAAATCAAAACAACATCGATACTTACCATTTTAGATATTCAAAATCGGGCACTTTATTTTATCGTATAGGCTAATCATGTAACGGGTGGGAACACTGGGATACTTACCATTTTAGCTATTCAAAATCGGGCACTTTATTTTATCGTATAGGACAATCATGTAACGGTTGGGAACTAGAGGTGCAAGAAACATCAATGAAAACATCGATGCATCGATGTTTTTTGAATAAACTTCCCTAATTTCCCCACATCGAAACTTCGCACCCACCCTTCTTTCCTTTGCACACAGTATATAAGTCGAAACGGCCGGGATCGGCCGACTATATCCTATAGCTGCCATATAACTGTTTGATCGGAAATGGTATAACTTCGGTGTTTGTAGAGTTAGAGAGTTAACGAGAGCTATTTTTGGCAAAATAATACGACATGTCAAATTTCGTAAGGATCGGCCGACTATATCCTATAGCTGCCATATAACTGAACGATCGGAAATGACCCAACTTTGTTTTTGAAGATAGAAAGCTGGAACTTGGTACAGAGTATATTTTTGGTCAGTTAATCCCATCTACCAAATTTCATACCGATCGGCCAACTATATCTTATAGCTGCTATATAACTGAACGATCGGAAATGGATTTTGGTAGAAAAACCAACTTTGTTAAATAAATTGGGTTATGATATCATATTCTCAAAAGGATCGGCCAACTATATCCGATGTTTGCGATATATATCCGGTTTTAACTGAAAGGATATATAAACTTCGCCTCCGCCCGAAGTTAGCTTTCCTTTCTTGTTATAATTTAATTTTTTTACGGCAGATATTTTTAGATATATTTATATTTTTTCATCTTTATTGGCTTATTATTTTTCTGAATCTATTCTCTTAGTAGTATCGTTATCAAACTTTAGTTGTTGACTAGGTTTAACCCTCAGTAGAGCAATAAGAATAGTTGGTATGGACATATCCAAATCGTATTTTTCTTTGAAAGAAATAAGATTGGACCTTATCCGTAGGAATAACTTTGATGCATGTGACCGAAAAACATGAGTCGTAATCGAACTACCGAACTGAGCGGACGTGCTTTGCCCGAGCTCCGGGAAAACTTCACTTCGCTTATATTTTCGCCAATATAAGCGAAAAGACACTGAAATACAATTTATTAAAAGCGACAGACAAGCTTTTTATAACAGTTGTAATGTGCTAAACCAAAACTATTGCATTGTCCAAAAAAAAAAAGTAAGAGCCACGCAATGAGCTCATTGAGCAACAATCAAAAGAACGAGCGTAGAAGTTCAGTGAACCAAAGAAACGGCTTCTAATCTTACTTTTCAACCCGCGATACCGAAGTGGAAAAATCGGCGCTTAAAAGCAACCCGGCTTTACTAACCGCTGAAACCCAAAGGGCACGGTCTTGCTCACCCGCTCTGCTCACTCCGACTCCCGCGTCATGGAGTTCGCAGTGTAAAACCCCCCCTCCAATACCGGAAACAAATTTCGCACCAACAACAAGCAGCGCTACAACTTCTGCAACAACAGCGAAAAC